TGAACGATGTAGGAATTACAACAGTTTGCATATGTGCCTCCCACTTGTTAAGGGACCAGAATGGGACAGAATAATAATCATAAATCAAACTTTCACTTTTTAATACTTGGTTGCAAATCCTTTGCAGTCAATTACAGCCTGAAGTGTGGAACGCATAGACATCACCAGACGCTGGGTTTCATCCCTGGTGATGCTCTGCCAGGCCTCTGCTGCAACTGTCTTCAGTTCCTGCTTGTTCTTGGGGCATTTTCCCTTCAGTTTTGTCTTCAGCAAGTGAAATGCATGCTCAATCGGATTCAGGTCAGGTGATTGACTTGGCCATTGCATAACATTCCACTTCTTTCCCTTAAAAAACTCTTTGATTACTTTTGCAGTATGCTTTGGGTCATTGTCCATCTGCACTGTGAAGCGGCGTCCAATGAGTTGTGAAGCATTTGCCTGAATATGAGCAGATAATATTGCCTGAAACACTTCAGAATTCATCCTGCTGCTTTTGTCAGTAGTCACATCATCAATAAATACAAGAGAACCAGTTCCATTGGCAGCCATACATGCCCACGCCATGACACTACCACCACCATGATTCACTGATGAGGTGGTATGCTTAGGATCATGAGCAGTTCCTTTCCTTCTCCATACTCTTCTCTTCCCATCATTCTGGTACAAGTTGATCTTGGCTGCATCTGTCCATAGGATGTTGTTCCAGAACTGTGAAGGCTTTTTTAGATGTTGTTTGGCAAACTCTAATCTGGCCTTCCTGTTTTTGAGGCTCACCAATGGTTTACATCTTGTGGTGAACCCTCTGTATTCACTCTGGTGTGAAGTCTTCTCTTGATTGTTGACTTTGACACACAAACACCTGGAGAGTGTTCTTGATCTGGCCAACTGTTGTGAAGGGTGTTTTCTTCACCAGGGAAAGAATGTTCCAAACAGTTGTTTTGGCCACGCCTAATGTTTTTGCTATCTCTCTGTTGGGTTTGTTTTGTTTTTTCAGCCTAATGATGGCTTGCTTCACTGATAGTGACAGCTCTTTGGATCTCACCTTGAGAGTTGACAGCAACAGTTTCCAAATGCAAAGAGCACACTTGAAATGAACTCTGGACCTTTTATCTGCTCATTGTAATTGGGATAATGAGGGAATAACATACACCTGGCCATGGAACAGCTGAGAAGCCAATTGTCCCACTACTTTTGGTCCCTTAACAAGTGAGAGGCTCATATGCAAACTGTTGTAAAAACTGTTGTAATTCCTACACCGTTCACCTGATTTGGATATAAATGCCCTCAAATTAAAGCTGACAGTCTGCAGTTAAAGTACATCTTGTTCGTTTCATTTCAAATCCATTGTGGTGGTGTATAGAGCCAAAAATGTTAGAATTGTGTCGATGTCCCAATATTTATGGACCTGACTGTATGTAGGAGGAACCACTAGGGGTTAACCTTATCTTTTCATATTATCATAGTTTGGAAGTTTAGAGACCTTTTCTCATGTTAACACTTTTTCAGAAAACGAATATCTGTGTCGGCTTACACTACTGCGACCTGAAAGTCGAGCGACTTACAGTGTGCCTTTGCCAGGCGACTTGAGTACTACTTTGAAGCAACTCTGAAGCAACTTTCAGGCAATGCTTAGGTAATCGTCCTGTAATGTCGGATCCAAATCACATCAATATAGATGAGGATCCAACTTGGAGGCGACTTCTATGGGCACAAGTCGGATAGAAGTCAGTACAGGAACCTTCAGTAGTGCTAATTAAGACAGCTCTTATTGACTAACATGGTATTTCACATCTAATGCGACTTGATTGCAGCAGTGTGAACCGAGTCTAAAGACGTGTTACTAAACCCACAACAGTAAAATCAGTCTGTATATGCAGTAAAGCATGCTTGTTGTACTCGCTGTGGAACCTAAGGGGTAATCCTCTACATTGTGTAAAAAGACTATTTGATTCTCTCTTCTCTGATCCTCCCCTTCTCCCACAGTTCTCAATCCATCTGCTGATAGAACAGAGCCATGGGGTCAAGCTGCACATGCTGAGTTTGGAGCAGGGGAGGACTGACCATGTGGAAACGGCCCGAGGGCCCGGGGTCAGTAGGTGGCCCCATGAGATGCCCCTGGTATCTTTTTCATAGGCTTTTTTGAGTTTGGGCAAGGACACAGGGGACCCATGATACCCTATTGCCCGGGGGCCCCAAGAGTTGTCAGTAATCCCCTGGTTTGGGGTGTATTGCTAGAGAGTTTGTTTTCTTGGGAGAGTGCATTTGATCAGCACAGGGCCAATCAGCACTGTCCAGACAGAGGGTCAGGGGACCTGCAGCCTCATAGGACAATCAGATGATAATGAAAATTCCTACAAGCTTTAACCAGTGCTCCGCTGGACACTGATAGAAGTCACAAGACTCCTATATACTGCTAATGAAAAATGGTATTTCGCAGTTTAAATTTACTAAAATAATTGCATTTCCATGATCTGTGTACTGTAGGAGACCAGATAGAGTGAATGTAGGGTAATTTCTCCAGTGAGGACAAAGATAACACATTTTTCTGACAAAATATATATTACAAGAATGCGGTTTTCACTTTTCATCCCTAATGAAGGGGGTAAGGCTTAGCCCCCAAAACATGTTGGTTGTGTATACACTATTTTGATATTGCATTTGAATAAACTCATTCCTGGAGTGCAATATCACTGTGGCACTTAAAGTGTTACTAAACCCAGGACCCTGCATTCACTATATCTGGTCTCCCACAGTACACAGAATGTGGAAATGCAATTATTGTAGTATATATAAACTGCTAAATACCATTTCTCATCAGCAGTATGTAGCAGTCTTCTGACTTCTATCAGTGTCTGGCTGAGCGCTGAGTAATCTTGTAAAAGGAGTTTTCATTCTGCTTTGACTGTCCTATGAGGCTGCATAACCCCTGACCCTCTGTCTGGACAGTGCTGATTGGCTCTGTGCCGATCACATGCACTCGCTCAAAAAAACCCCAACTCTCTAGCAATACACACCAAACTGAGCATGTGTAGAGTGTCTCCTAGGGCTCTGTACTTTCAGCAGATGGATTGGGGACAGTAGAAGAAGGGGAGGATCAGAAAAGACAGGATCAAGCAGCCTTTTTACATGATGGGGAGGATTAACCCCTTAGGTTCCACAATGACTATAACAATCATGCTTTACTGCAGTATGTAAACCACCTGCGCTACTCAGAATGAAGACAAATATAAAGATCAGGAAGCTGCTATCACCTGGTTATATACCTGAATACGTTGCAAACATAAAAAAGAAAATGGTGTTGCGCTTCCATACACAGTACCTAAATACATTTAAATACCATAATTAGTGCATAAATATAAAACTCAAATAAATTCTAACAAAAAGAAATATACACATCAAAAAAGGACAATATCATGTGATAATATGCAAAAAATAAAAACAAAAATAAAAACAAGCTTACAGAGCCTCATATGTGAAATGCTGGGTGTACTCTCTGAAGTTCCTGAGGAAGTCATGTGATATGTGATGCAACGCATCAGATGATTACGGAGGCGTACTGAGGTCACTTCCAGCGTAGGCGCCATTTTGGTACACCCAGAGAGTACACCCAGCATTTCACACATGAGGCTCTGTAAGCTTGTTTTTATCAATGGAAATGTGAGTGAGCAATTTGCTGGTTTATGACATTTAAAATAAACATACAGTATTACACTATGGGAAGATTTCTTTTCTTCTTTCAAATATATATATGTGAGTTGGCTGATTTTATCATCCTGCCTAAAAGAAGTTTGGACATCAGGATTGCTCATTCCTATTGTTCCATAAGGGGGATACCACCACTACTGCTAAACCGGAATTATTTATGTTGATTGGCCGTATTGCTGTATCTTATATTGTGGAGGCATATTGGCCCTTTGGGGTCGGTGCATGAAGGTGAGGGGGCAATCCAGCCGGTGACGGATCCCAATTTTTATATCTATACACAAATGTTTTTCCTTTCATTTGTATTTTAAACTGAATGAGTTATTTTACAAGGTGAGGGTTTACAATCACCTTATGTTTCACAATAGCTTTCCTTTAAGATCTAGCTGAAGAAATACAGTATTTGCAATGTATCACTGGCAAATCAGAGTTAATTAGTTAATTACCATTAAACCTAGTATAATAATGCAGTTACTTTTATAAAATGGCAAATATTGCTGAAAGATAATTATCATCCATAACTATCCCATGAATTCATAATAAACAGCATAGCAGGCATGCAGTCAGGCTATTAACCAGTAACAGCTATGCCAGCTATTATTTATTAAGTAAACACAGTTTATTGGGCATGTCAATTCTATAACAGCTGACTAGAGCAGGGAGGATGTTGATTAACTTTTCCAATGTAATGTTGTGGAGGTGAAATAAATTATAGCCAGCAATATATCTCTAATATTCTGCACAGATCATTAATGCAATTCATTACCTTTGGCTGGGTAACCACGGGGTGATAATAAATTAATATCCTAATCGTACCAAAATGCTTGAGCACCGATATAGAATGTTCTCTTCCCTGGGATTTCAGCTGAGGGTCTGCTGACGTGGTTGTGCAGCATGTCATTGTGATATTACAGATTACCAGACCTGGGATAATAGCACACTAGCAAAAACACCATCATATTTCACACACACTTACATAAATGTACTCACCAAGACACCCCGGACAGAAACGGGGAAATACAGGTGTGTCTTTTTTAAAGAATATGCAGACCCAACATTTCATTTTCCTGGTATGTGCCTGCTGCACCATGTATTCGGTGAAAAAAGTATCCTGTTCTCTTTGTAGTACTTCCTTTGTGTGAAATCCCTGGTGTTCCTGTCAATTCCTCTGCTTTCCTTTTAAAAACTGACCATGGCATGAGAACACAGTTTGACCAGTATTCTGGCTGTGCTGGGAGCTAATCCAATGATCATGATTGTGTTGACATGCCCCCTGCACTGCCATTCACTAGGAAGATAAGTGTACTAGGAAGGTAATATATAAATATACAAATTGCCAAAAGTATTGGGATGCCTGCCTTCACACGTACATGAACGTTAATGGCATTCCAGTCTTAGTCCATAGGGTTCAATATTGAGTTGGCCCATTCTTTGCAGCTATAACAGCTTCAACTCTTTTGGGAAGGTTGGCCATGAGGTTTATGAATGAGCCTATGAGAAAGTTTGACAATTCTTCCAAAAGCACATTTGTGAGGTCAGGTACTGATGTTGGACGAGAAGACCTGGCTTGCAGTCTCCGCTCTAATTCATCCCAAAGGTGTTCTATCGGGTTTAGGTCAGGACTCTGCGCAGGCCAGTCAAATTCCTCCATCCCAAACTCATCCATGTCTTTATAAACCTTGCTTTGTGCACTGGTGTGCAGTCATGTTGGTATAGGAAGGGGCCATCCCCAAACTGTTCCCACAAAGTTCGAAGCATGAAATTGTCCAAAATGTCTTGGCATGCTGATGCCTTAAGAGTTTCCTTCACTGGAACTAAGGGGCCAAGCTCAACCCCTGAAAAACAACCCCACACCATAATCCCCCCCTCCACCAAACTTTACACTTGACACAATGCAGTCAAGCAAGTACCTTTCTCCTTGCAACCGCCAAACCCAGACACATCCATCGGATTGCCAGAGAAGCGTGATTCGTCACTCCAGAGAACACATCTCCACTGCTCTAGAGTCCAGTGGTGGCATGCTTTATACCACCGCATCTGATGCTTTGCATTGCACTTGGTGATGTAAAGAATGGTTGCAGCTGCTCGACCATGGAAACCCATTCCATGAATCTCTCTACACACTGTTGTGCTAATCTGAAGGCCACATGAAGTTTGGAGGTCTTTTTCCCTTTTGACTCTACAGACAGTTGGCGACTTCTGCGTACTGTGCTCCTAAGTATGTGCTGACCCTGCTCTGTTATTTTACATGGCCTACCACTTTGTGGCTGAGTTGCTGTTGTTCCCAGTTGCTTCCATTTTTTTTTTTTATTATATCTTTTATTAAATTTTTCCAATACAAAAAGAGCATCTAATGCACACAAAAATAAAAAGAACTTCACCAATACATAAATTCAATTTGCATCGTCTTATCCCCTGCCCCACCCTTCCTCCCCCCCTCCAATTACCTCAGTCCATATCCAAATTCCTAGTTTCTATCCTTTCTCGTGATTATCTATCTATATCTGTATCCCTTCCCTCCTATCTCCTTCTCTCTGTTGGGTACTCCATCAGAACTCCCTCTAATACCCTTCCACCTATATTCCATCCAGTTCCAAATATCTTTTAGATGTTTAGAAAATTAACTAGTTAGTCCACATTTTCCTACATTTTTCCATTCTATCCTCCTCAATATGACACAACTCCTCCATCCTGTAGATATTTTCCACTCTGTTAACCCAGTCGTTTATTCTTGGTGGCTCTGGGGCTAGCCAAATTTGGGAATCAAGCCCTTAGTCGCACTGATTAGATGATATAGTCCTGTTCAATACAGGTTCAGATTTATAAAATATACATTCCATGGGTCTCTCTGTACAGTCATAATTCCTGAGTATATTGTAATATTCCCTTCCAGTAATCCTGTATTTTTGGGCAATCCACCATATGTGTACCATTGTTCCCTTTTCCCCACATCAACTCTAACATAAAGGTGAAACATCTATTTTTTGTTTTATGTGCCTTACTCTGTGTAATATACCATCTAGCCAAACATTTGTAATTCATTTTAACTGTGCTCATATTCGTCACCTCATGTGTTAATTTGAATACTTTATTCTTTTGTTGCTCGTTCAATTTTGTTCCAAGTTCCTCTTCCTATTTTCCCAAGAACCGGGGAGGATCGGCATCCTCCATATCCACAAGAATCTTGTAAAACCTGGAGGTGCCTTGTTTAGGAACTATAGTTGCATTCAACAGTTTTTCAAATGGATATAGATCCTCCGACGTCCTCAGTGATTGTGGGAGCGTTAAGACAAAATTACCTAAGTGGCTATACCGCCACTTGTCTAATGTGAAAAATATTTTTTTTTTTCTTTAAGTCTGAAAAGTGTGCAATTTCCCCTTATTCAGTATATCCTTCAAATGTGTGTTCTTATCTTTAATCTATTTCTCAGAAATATTATCCTTCCCTGGGGGTAAATACTCAGTTCCCGCCAAGGGAATCATAACTGAATTATATTTCCATCCCTTTTGCTTATACATTCTATCCCAAACACCTAAAACTTACTTTGTCAGTGGAATAATATTCACATCTAATGTGCAGAATATGTGGTACCCAAACTATCTTCCCTAACTATGCCTTACTCAGAATCCTTTCCATATTCACCCAACCTTTCCCTTGTGAATTAAATATCCAGTCCATTATTCATGATAATATCACCACTTGATAAGATTTCTTAACATTAGGCATACCCAAACCCCCCTTCTTCCACTCTGTTATAATACATCTAATAGTTGACTGTGGAATATTTAGTAGCAGAGAAATTTCATGGTTGGACTTATTGCACAGGTGGCAACCTATCACGGTAACACACTTGAATTCACTGAGCTCCTGAGAGCAACCCATTCTTTCACAAATGTGTGTAGAAGCAGTCTGCATGCCTAGGTGCTTGATTTTATACACCTGTGGCCATGGAGGTGATTGGAACACCTGAATCCAATGATATGGAGGAGTATCCCAATACTTTTGGCAATACAGTGTATATATACAAATATTTTGCCTTTCATTTATATTTTAAATGGAATGGGTTGTTTTACATGGTGAGGCTGTACATATACTTTAAGTTTTATACAGCATTTCTGAAAGTGGGGTAACACTTTTCAAAATCACACCTTGCAATTTGGATGCGTAGCCTGCTTTAAAACAACTCTCTGCCTAGAGACGTATAGGAAGGGTTCTCACCGACTGCTGCTCCCTCCTGCTGAAAGAAATAATGATAGGGTGATGCAAAGAGGAAAATCAATGTATATTTTTATATATTGACAAATTGTGCATAATGTTTCGTTACATTATAACAGTTATTAGTATCAATTGAGACAAGGCAGTATGTTTTAGCATGGTTAAATCTGCTTATTTTCTATGTCTCTGTGTGCTATATGTTATGGTGCACATTGATGTCAATGCAAAATATGTGAAGGGATGCGTACATTGCCAGCACTAAATAAATACCTATAAAAAATAGACATTTTATTGGTACAATGGCAACCAAATAAACAAAAAAAAAAAACCACACACTTTGGGGAATACCCAAAACTTTATGTTGGGTGGGAACAAAGCCACCTATCAAATGGAGGTAGGCATGCGCTTTGATTAACAACTAGCTAAATGAGGTTGATACTGCCCCAGTACAAGGATAATTGTTTTATAGGGTGATATATCCATAGGCTGTTGTTTACGGTCTTCCCTCCTAATGCTAATTGAAAACAAAATTACCTTTTACATCATCACAAACAGGCATACAGTATTTGTGACTGTAGCGTTTTTATCCTATGACAGACATCCCAAATATAACTCAATAATTTGCAATTTTTTGTCATATGTAGAAATTACATCAAAACATTTAATGCAAAAACAAAGTACACAGCATCATGATTTTAGTCTGCTTGCCTTAACTTGATTTATGGAACAGACCTGACCAAGGGCCGTGGAAAGACAATAAATACTGGTCAACTGGGAGATATAGTACCTTCAGGATACTCACCTCTTCCAGTTGGTTAGGCCTGGAAGAACTGCGAGGGGGAAGCCATGTATGTTGATGCACAAAACTAGAGTAAACGATGCTTAGAATCATCAAGGCGTCTTTGGGGTCAGCACTATCTACACAGTTACTACAGTATATTCTCCTTATATTTTTCAGCTTTCCCACAGGCAAAACTCAAACATGGGCTACAAGTATTAACCACTTCCCGACTGTCCTATAGCAGAAGTACTGCTACAGGGCAGCAGGAATTCACAAAATCATGTATATATATATATATATATATATATATGTGTGTGATTTTGAATTTCTGGGTGGGTAGGGGGCGTGCACATGCCCGCTACCTATCCGCTCTGCTATTGGCTCCTCGGGATGTCAGTCACCAGGTTCCGGCCGATAATTCTCGGCTGGGACTCGGAGATCCTCGGCGAAGCTGACGGGAGAGGTCTGTATCTGAACAACACAGATCTCTCCCGTCAGCACGAACAGGCTGCTTTGTATTGCTCTGCACAGAGCAAAACAAATCAGCTTGTCTACATAGTAAATCACACATAGCACACTGTTAACCCTTTGATCACCCCAGATGTTAACCCCTTCCTGCCCAGTGTCATTAGTACAGTGACAGTGTTTTTTATTAGCACTTGATCACTGTATTAATGTCACTGAGGATGTCAGTGGCAGTAAGTCAGGTCCCACCCAGTGTCAGAATACCCACCGCAGTCCCGCAATATGTATAGACGCCATAAATAGCCATTTGTAGACGTATAACTTTCACGTCAACCAATTCATTTACATGTATTGGGGTTTTTTTTTTTATAGCAAAGACATGTAGCTGAATACATTTTGGCCTAAATTTAAGAAGAAATTTTTTTTTTTACATTTTTTTTACTCGATATGTTTTATAGCAAAAAGTCAAAAATATTGTATTTTTTCAAAATTGTCTGTCTTTTTTTGTTTATAGCGCAAAAATTAAAAACCGTAGAGGTGATCAAATACCACTAAAAGAAATTGAAAGAAAGCTCTATTTGTGCGAAAAAGGACATAAATTTCATCTATGTACAGCGTTGCATGACCACACACAATTGTCAGTTAAATTAACACAGCGCCGTATCGCAAAAAATGGCCTGGCCAGGAAGGGGGGGTAAATCCTCTGGAGAGCAAGTGGTTAATAGCTTGCTTTTAGGAGAGGGCAAGGACTGATGTCAAGTGTCCTATTTATTTTGCAAGATTCTTCAGAATTTGTTGTTGCTATGAATAACTTTCCTACTGATAATAAAAGTATATAAAAGCTGCCATTTAATCTAAACCAGTAATGTA